GAAAAATGCGCAAAACAATTGCAGATTTGGCAATTACGACAGAAAATGGTCGCGAATATTTTCGCTATACGACACGATCGACGATTTAGGATCACTGGGTCAAGCGCAGAAAGTGAATAACTAGCTTTATTGCCTAATTGTAATGCGGGAATTAGGGTTCATTAGTGATCTTGCAACAGCATTACAAAGGTACCCCAATTAGACCAAGATTGATATCTTCATCTAACCTTGATACGCTAGGAAACAAACGTTGACGCAAATTATATGATTACCGAAAGGAAATGTTTCAACAGTTGAAAATTTTTATTTTTTAGTTAGGTGAAAGGAAAAAATGTCTCTTGGTGATAAAATCGGCGTTCCCTTTACTGATTGCGATCTTGGGTTGTTATTTAACGAACTGTTTGTAAACCCCTGCTTCTATGGTTTGGGATAATGCTTTTAATTCTGAAGACTCCAAATGAAGATCTGCTGTCTGTAGTGGTTATGGCTGTGTCTACATTCTGCCGTTGGACGGCCGCGGGGACTGTAGCAGCCAGAACACCATTGCAGGCCTCGTTTTACTGATAGACAAACGGAATTTGTTTCTTGAAGCTTCCCTCAGTCTGCAGCTCTATGCCTAGTTGACAAACTTGCCAGGATTCTGCCTCTCATTATTGTTGTGTTGCTTTCTTGAGTGTCGAGAATGTAAAACAAGCATTCTACCAGACGTTTCAATCAGCTCTCGTATCAAGGGTTATTACGAATATCGACGGATTTTGCATGGAATTATCCACACTGAAATTACCGAAATCCGCCTCAGGAAAATATGAACACAGAATTGTGAACATCATCAGTTATACAGGGTGTCCGCAAAGTTGGAGTTTTCCTTTACACGACGGGTAGATCTTGAGAACATAAGCAATTTTTCTTAGTACCATATACACCAATGTCTTAAGGGAACCGAGATAAAGGGCTCTGCAAAAATATCTGAATACCGTCCTGTAGCCGCGACATCCCCGACTGGTACAAGGTCACTGGCTCAACCCGACGACAGAACTAGGTCGGGGTCAGTGTGTCAGGTCAATATGCAACCATCAACCGACGGTTACGGTCACGCATGTAGAGGTAATCGCGTAGACGAGAATTCCTTAACAAGCACTAGAGACGTGGCTAGAGAAGTGCAAGTATCAAAAACTAAAGTGTGGCAAACGCTGCGTGAAGAGGGGCTGTATCCGTTTTACGTCCAACGTGTACAAGCCCTTAAACCTGACGATTTTCCAGCAAGAGTGCGGTTTTGTCAGTGGTTGTTGCATCAACATGATAATAATCCGGACCATTTATTCTCCCAAATCGATTGAACGGGATGCAATACCTAGACTTTTTACGCAACATTTTGCCTTCCTTATTTGCCTGCGTCTGCTGGGTAGCGCATCAGCTGATTTCATTTTCTGTTGGAGCGGTATGATTTCGGGCCGAGACGTACTTAGCCCTTCTCGTCAACTGGAGAGTGAGTACTTTTTCCTTTATTTTTTTTTACTTGGTCGCCCTCGTTTCACTACACATTACCTTTGTTATTTCAAGGGTAGTTGTTTCTGAAAAGGAAAACCCCAACTTTGCGGACTATACTCAACTATAGCAGCAGTGCCATTAACGAGGAATCTATTTTCTTTAATATGCTCAGAAGTAACCAAAAAGAAAAGCCAGCTTAAGATTTTTTAAATATTGAATACCATTAACAGTAAAAAGTGATCTACATGCTGAAAAACACGAAAAATTCCAAGCAATTTTTTACCGACCAGAATACCCGACCGCGTGGCTTTTCCGAATAAATCATTTTAAAGGCCCTGGTTTTGACTCAGACCAGTCGCCACATTCAGAACCTGGTTAATTCATAGTATAATTCGATATACATCTGAATGCCGGACAAAGCAACATTTAGTGCTAAAAAATTATAGTCCGACCCTGAGGCACTAATACTTGTCCTGCCTCTGGCTGAAGCGACGTTTTCAAGTGTGATTTTATTCTCCTGCAGGTATATTTTCATAACATTGTAATCATTATTTTTACCAATCAACAATAAGATCGACTTTGAACCAGAATTATCAAAACAATGCTTTTCCTCTTCCACAAAAATAATTAATGTGGCATATCGAGACAGATACGACTTAATTGAGCTTATTATGCTAAGCAGATACATCAATGTCTTATTTCCTAACATTTGCAGACGTTGCCATTTTTTCTCATTTAGGTATATGCCGCGATCTTATTTAGCGCAATAGCCTGAGAAAATTACAATTCAATTTTTCCACAGTATGCCGTAATTCACAAACAATGGCATTTTTGAAATAGCGCGTTGCTACAACCTGTCCAATGTTAGATTGAGATATGTCGAGAGGAATACACTGCTCGACAAAATTCAGGTTTACAACAAAGTGCAGAAAAAGCTTGTGTTGTCACTTTAGTCTTTAGTCTTCACTTACCACAAAATATGATACAATTTGAAATTAAGGCAAAAATACAAAATACGATATACGAAATTCAGACGTTCCAAATTTCTAACAATCATAAAGAAATGTATATATATAGGACTGTTCAAGTCTGATTTTTTTCAAGAATATGGTAACATTGCTGAATCATGTAACAACGTTCTTTCTATACCTGAATTTAAGTTTTTTATCATTAGTTAAGGACATATAAACGATGTTCAATGCTCCACGTTTATTCTTTTAATTCTTTTAGAAAATAAATAATAACACCACAATAATTAGAAAGCGAGAAACGTATCATACACACCTTGCATTTATTCATGTTGTGCCTGTATAAAAGATATAATCTAATTTTGGCAGCGGTATATTGCCCTTGCAATTTTTTTATACACATTTTTAACCAGCATAATTTCTGATCCCGCTATGACTGTTAGATTAATTGGTCTGCCTACGTGAGCGTAAAAAAATCGTTACCAGATTACAAAACACTACTTAATAAGTCAAATTACGCTGCATATATACATAATGAATTCCACATACAACCTGTTGAAACGCCGATGTATTGTAAACCGTCATATAACATTTTTTATCTAGTCCAATCTTGCGTGTCATTCCTTAGAAAGAATCAAAGTCACATAGTTACTTTTTTCAGAACTTATAATCAGGTATATTAATTACTCGCTGAATTCCAGTCATTGCTATGCAGGGTCGAGTTATTACTACTGCGCGTATCAAGGGGTTTTTGCCAAGTGAATAATTTTCCAGTTCACCTTCTGTCAGGTTTCGCAAGGCACAGTAATTGAACGGGTCTTTAACGGCTTTTCCGTTATCAGAAAAGCTTTCATTCTTATTAAGGATTCGGAAAAACATTTCGATTAGCATCGCGCATGTGCATTGCACATCGCACGCCACCGCTGTCACGGCGAGCCTTTGTATCGCCCAAGTCGGTGCGCGTCAATACCGCCGTATTCAAAAGTATACCGTGTTAACAACGGCATAAAGTGTGTTCTACTACTCTAAGCATCTTACAAAGAATGAAATGGTCTCCATTTTCACAGTTTTTGGGGTAGTATCTCTTCAGATAGTCTCCGCATATGGTCACACCGTATCAGTTGTTTCATTTCTATACGTTGTAAACGTGACTTGTGCGGCAATTCTTTGCGTTCATTTCTTATAGTCTAATCATATTAGCAAATTTTCCCGAAATAATTGGTAAGTCTGGTTTATTGGTGCAAGTTGTTCAATGGGGTATTTAAAACATTGACGCATAAAATGGGTACACCAATTTTTGTGGGAAAACATTTTATTTGACGACAAAGATAGAGAAAACGTGTTTCTTTGGGCTTCAATCAAAAGTGTTGACAGGAACGAAAAAACTTTTCATATAAGATATTTAGGTATTTATGAGACCTACAAAATAAGACCACACGTGAAAAGCTCCGGCTAATATCAAAAATGTTATGACCGAAAAACGAGGCAAAATGCAGCTTTTGGCACTTGTTGGAAATGCGACGATAATTTCACGCAACTACTTGAAATTCTTCAAATTTAGTTATTGAGCAATATACAAGGTTCGTTCAAAGAGCATTTAATAGCAAAATACATCTTGCCGATATGAATCACAAACCATTCCGAAAGATACATATTTTTATACGAAACGTTTGAATTTGTTTAGATCAAAAAACGTATCCCATACTTTTTGCATAAAAATAACATTTATATTCCGGAATGGTTTGCGATTCATATCGGCAAGGTAAACTAGTTTATTTTGCTATAAAATACCCTTTGAACTAACCCTCTATGTTGCTCAATAAACTAGTAGTAATGGCCGAAAAACAGGTGGTTTGGGAAATTCTCAAAACGACATTGAAGAACAACGACGGCCATAACTTTTTTGCTATCTGTCGGATCTTATTACGTGTGGTCTCATTTTGTAAGTCTCATAAATGTCTAAAAATCTTGTATGAAGAGTTTTTTCGTTCCTGATAACACTTTCGATTTTTGACTTATTTTCTAACTTTGTCATATACAGGTATGTCTTGGTCATCTATGCCATAATTTTTATTCCTAGTTACTTATATTTTTTTGTATACAGTATTATCCCTCCATCTATATGTATATTCCGATCTTCCACTCCTATCACCATGTACCGCGTTTTCTGCATATTAATTTCCAAGCCCCATTTTTCAAAGTCTTCGTCCAGTTTTCCGAACAGCACCTATGTCTGGACGAAATAACATTTCTGCGATAGAGCATTTTATACAAAAATCGGTTAATAGTGAAATAAGGTAGAACACTTTCCGAGAGAAAAACCTTTAAATAAATAATCGCTTTAAATGTTTAATCGGTTGAAGATGTTTAGCTGTTAAAGAGCGAAACCGAGGCAACATCATGACGAAGAGTTGCCAAATAGCACGAAAGGTGGTTGGCTATTTGTGGTCAAACTAACGAAAACTCTATCACCAATTTCTTTACATTTCGTGAGATTTCGTGATTTTGGTTATAAATCGCATGTTCTGACCTTTTATATGTTGTTTCAGATACCAATGGGTGGCAGGAAACGCGGGAACCCATTTCTGGCACGCCCACACAGGTCTTCAGAAGATGGACGGTCTTTATGGGAGCATCGTTATTAGACAGCCACCTGCCATGGACCCTAACAGCCATTTGTACGATTTCGATCTTACGACGCACGTTATGCTGCTCAGCGATTGGTTGCACGAAGATGCCGCAGAGAGATTCCCTGGTAGACTGGCGGTAAGTTGAGTGAGCTTTGAACAAAAGTTTCATCGTATCCCGTTGAAATTGACGGCTCCCAACAATGAGTAAAGAAACGATTAATCAAGACATTTGGAGCAGCTCCAAGAAATGTTTCCAAACCAAATGATAGTGTTTAAATATTTGCCTATGTATAATGATATTGCGTATTGGACATTCCCTAACATACCGTACGTTGTCGAAATAAACTAAATCAACTGTAATTAAAGCGCAATTACTCGTATAGTTCGAAAGGAAATATATATACGTAAGCTACGACAGGCATTGTCGGTGAAAGCCCAAAATTATTCGCTAATCTACTCTACATACGATATCTATTAGAACAACCTTCGCATTTTCTTCGCGATTTCACAATTAAAATTATCCTTAGTTTCAAATGAATCACTGAACAACACCCGTGAGTGATACCTAAAGCTTTTAACATACCATTCAGCAATTACAACATTTTCATTCATTTTGGTGAATGCGCTTTTGCCAAATAAGCATTCGGTTTTCACACAGGTGGTTGCTCCATGCTGGCTGAGATTAGGCAAGTGCTAGCAATAAAAGGCGCCGGAAATTATGAGAAAAGGCAGTGCTGATCTACTTATATTATACTGTATTTGTGTTTAACGCAAACGCAAATTTACTACTTCTCACTGAGGCGAATGTGACGCGTTCAGTATTTACTGAACGTTCCGTCAGGATTTCTATAGGTCACGACAAACTTGTAGCGTCTGCTTACATTTTTTTTTCTGGTGCAGATAAGATACAGGTCTAAATAAGGAGGAAAGTTGGTTCATCTGTGTAAATTGTACATCTGAGCAGTGTGTAATAATTTAAAAAGCAATAACAGTTCGATATAAGTGCTTATAAATATATCGCATTGTTCGGACAGTGGCATAGCAAAAAATTCTGAAGATTTGCTATAATGTTATCGACTCGAAACGGCTAGCCCCCACCTCTTTTGTGTTCACCCCGCACTTCCACAAACTAATAAGAATAATAATCTATATTTCAAATTGTACAATGACATTACAAAAATTGTATAGCTACTACAAAACAAAATGATGTCACTATCACCGTAACTATAGTAGTTTACCTTTTTTTGTGTTATATGGTTATTTATCTTAAAAAAGCTATAATCGGAAACTATTACAACTCCCATAGAACTCATCTATTGTATAATAAGGCTCTGACTGTACTAGAAATTGCTTAATAGTCTTTTTAAATTTATGTAAACTGTTTGTTTTTAATTTCATTAGGTAGATTGTTGAAAAATTTTAAACACATGTAAATAGAGCTTTTTTCTGTGGAGGATAATCTAGGTATTTAATAATATCATTGAGGTTCGTGTATCATAAACAGTAAGCTCAGATAAATTTTCATTTTTGAAAAAATATGACACTCATACACATAGATGGCACACATGGTCTAGATTTTTTCAGTTTTAAACACCCCACTGCAAGTTTTATTGAAATTCAGCAGACGTACCGCACTTTTTTGAACAATAACAATGTTTTGAATAAACCTATTGCGCCCCCAAAAAATAATCCCATACTTTAGAACACTTTCAAAATTAGCATGGTACAATATTTTCAACTAGCCGAGATGATGTACAGAGAAGCAGCCTTCTCAGTTTTATGGCTTTTTAATGAGCGTAGATAGAAAAATGTTAACAGACACTATAAGTTTGTAGTGAGCTATACATCACCCTGTACATCAATAATTACTGGACGTCCAGGCTACAGGGTCAATAAATATTGACAGGTCACGATAAATATTGATCGTGTGACATTTGCCTTGCTGTTACCAGCATTAAGTTTCAATGATGTCCGTTCAAGAAACAAAGATGCTCAGAGGACTAGGGAACCATAGTTCAATATATTCCTCCATCAACAGATTATAATTTGCTTCTAACCATGACTTCAAGCGTAAATAAAGTCTTACGGGATGTGGACCTCAAAAATGATTGCTCCCGAAGAAATGTTTTACCTTTGACTCCATTGTATCGGCTTTCCAAGTTTGTGAATCTGTAATCTTGACCAAAATACTTTTTCCGGTCATTTTGATGAAATTGACAAAAGGCTCCAACTGGCCAATTTTCTGGAAATTGGAAAATGGAAATTTTCCTTTGATCTACTCCACAATTTAAAAACGTATATAGAATCCTTGCGTACCACTTCTATAACCCCAAAATGTGCTTGACATCGCGAAAACTGCGTTCGAAATTTCCTCAGCGTACGGAGTTTCTTTCAGTTGTATGTAAAAACACAAGTTTGTCAAACAGGTACAGGTATTCCTTACGAGGCTTCAGGAAAAGCGGCACACATTCTCTAACTAGTTCCTAATATGTGAATAACATGACACACCTTTTTTTATGAAGCATCTGTTTCCGTAATTCCAGGTGAACACCGGTCAAGACCCCGAGAACATGTTGATCAACGGCAAAGGTCAGTTCAGGGATCCGAACACCGGTTTCATGACCAACACGCCATTGGAAGTGTTCACGATAACGCCCGGCAGGCGGTACCGTTTCCGGATGATCAATTCGCTCGCCTCCGTCTGCCCCGCTCAGATGACCATCCAAGGGCACGACTTGCATCTCATCGCTACTGACGGCGAACCAGTTCATCCGGTTACTGTCAACACCATTATCTCATTCTCTGGTGAGTTATTTTCAGGTGGTACCCAGAAGTAGTACCAATTGATAAACTGCGCAACAAGGTGATATCACATACATATAATATATAGTACTTTATAGATCACCATTATCTATGGTACATATTTGGGGTATCCGAAATACAGAGGGATAGGAACGGTTCGCTTTCGGTGAGTGACGCTTTTGGAGAATCTTACATTTCGGGTAAAAAGGGCTGATAGAAAGTCTGGGGTGCTACTCAGGGGTAGTACCCATTCGTATGCAGTGAACGGCGTATCATAATATAGTGGTGCCATTTGCATCCAACTTCTGGTAAGGTCACCACTTCACGGGTGGGTTTTGGGTGGTTCCTCCATAAAGTGGGATATGCCTTTCGGTAGTGCAGTAGTACGACTTGACTGTTTAAAGGCATGACCTGCGTCCCGTAGCTACTGATGGAGAGCCATTTCATCCAGCTACTGTTAATACGATCATCTCCTGGTAAATTATTCCCTTTTGGATGGTAGCACCTATTCGTGGCACGGAAAACTTGTATTGGCACCACTTGCACTCCATAATATTTTTAACGCCATTTTCATATTCCCTTCCTGGATGGTACCCACTGGTGCCTATATAGCGTACCTCAAATGATATACCTACAGTAGGTCGTTTTTACCGCTTATCAAACGAGGGGCCCTCGCATCTCATCGCTACTGATAGAGAACCAGTTCTCTAGTGAGTTATAATGAGATGTAGTCATTGCTGGGAGTACTGTGGTATGGTGAAACTTCTTGCTTCTGCAAATGCCGTTAGTTGTACCTTTATCAAGCCACTTGATTTTTTCCCTCGTATCCATTAATAATTCGCTTTATGGTTTACTGTACTACTGTCGTACCACTTTCGTACCAATACCACCTATCATCTCTCTTTGGAACTTTATCCAGATTTTTTATGAGGTGTCTCTGCAAATATCATAGAGTAACTTACAGTACGACCGTTCTCGACAGTGGCAACACTAATTACGTCTGCCTGAGATGGTGGTTCTTTGGTACTTGTCCGTTTTCCATTAGAACGTCTACAATCACTGTCGGGTAGCTTTGTTTAACAACATGACGGGTGACTTATAGTCGAGCTTATCGTACGATCCCATAGTCAAATATTAATGTTTTTTCGCGCGGTAGATGATATGTCGTGAGAGTACCACTTGCGTTCGAACATCAGTAATATTGACATTTTTTTAAGTAGCAGACGTATCTTTCTATCTATTCCTATTCAAAGGGGGTCTCAAAACACTGTTTGGTAGGTTGTGGAACGATCCTTATCGCCAGTAATGTCTCACAGGACTATCCCATCCTCTAGTTACCATACAGTACAGTAATCTCCTTTTTCTAATTCCGTGAAGTCGCGATGCATTATTTCTGTTTGTTTTCCACAACAGAGCTTGCCAACATGAGGTAGTATGACTTGAGTCACATTGCTATCGATGTCACTGCCAGTACTCCGTGCTAAGATTTACGAAAGCAACATTAATATTGCCTGAATATCATCACTCCTACCTATTCACTCCGTTCAAGTGTCGGTATATTTATTTCTTGCTACAGCTTCATGGATCGAGAGGTTGCCGGCACAATGCAACACGAAACTATATCACAAACATAGTTTAATCTTTGATCATGTCAAGCTTTCGAAAATCTTTATTTTCTTCCTCTTCTATTTCTTCCTTTCTTCTTCTTATTCTTATTCTTATTTTTTTCTTCTTCTTCTCATTCTCCTCCTCCTCCTCCTCCTCCTCCTCCTCCTCCTTTTTCTTCTTTTTCTTCATTTTATTGTTTTTCTTATTTTTCTTCTTCTTCTTTTTCCTTTCTTCTCCACCTCCTCCTCCTCGTCCACCTTCTTCTCCTTCTTCGGAACACACTGAAAAGGTAATAGTAACAGTACGTACGTAATGAAGAAATGAAGAAGGAAATAAACATTTTCGAAAACTTGACATAAACAAAGAAGAAACTTTCTGGACTAATTTCTTTTTGCGTTGTTGCTGCGCTCTCAAGATCGTAGATGTCTCAACTAGTCAGCCAAGATTACCCTCTCCGCTATCTCTCGTTGCTTCATTTCTTGGTAATTCTGGCCTAGGAAAAGCTGAAGAGCCCGGCATATACTCGTAGTTTGTGAAGGTTCTGCAGTAGCTTTTTCCAAGCTCATGCTCACAGGTATGGTATAGTAGTACCACTGATTTTCCAGAAAAAAGGCACGGACAAGCTTTGCATGAAGTAGCAGTAAATCTCTAACTTCTTTAGCATCTGTTTTTATCGAAACTTATCTAGGAATCTATTAATTGTTCAATAGAAGATTTGTACATCAGACTTTTATCCATCATCCTCATTGGCATATGGTATATATATCTTAACATTCACTTTCTCACCAAACGACACAAAAATGAAATCCCATTAACGAATTGCACCACACGCCTGTGCATATCCGTCTGGTCCACTCTGAAATTTCTATATATTGTGTAAGACAATAACGAACCATTGTTGTAGCTTAAATCGACAAAAGACCGGATAATAGTCGCTTACACAAAGCTGTCTAAAAACAAAAATTAAACGGGCATTATGTAAAGCACCAACGGGTCAACTTTAATCTCATTGTAATCTGTATTCTCGCTGTCGTCCATAAAGAGCTTACGTTTGGTATATTGACGCAACGGATTGGTAACGTATAAGCAGATCAAATGTCAACCTATACATTCTTTGCATTACTTTGCTGACTAATACCGTTTAAAGAGCAGGACTAACATTGCCAATTTGCTTTTGCGGTACGACAAAAAAAACTTTAGAACTTCATGTTTTTCTGGCCAAATTGCTGTTTGCTGGCGTTTCGGCTACCACATTGGCCTTTTTCAAGGTACAGATCTGTAACGCAAGAAACAGCTTGAACACAATATTCTTATTTTTCAATCTTTATACATTGAAATGCCCACTGATATCAACAATGTCCTTAGGTGAAAGGTACGACTTCGTAATCAATGCAGATCAACCAATAGGAGCCTATTGGATCCAAGTACGAGGTCTCGGTGAATGTGGTATCAGAAGGGTACAGCAATTGGCCATCCTCAGGTACGCTAGGGGACCGTACCAACCGACAGCAGCGCCACCTACGTACGATTTCGGTGTGCCACAGGGAGTGGTGAGTAGGCCCCAGGGCTGTAAATACAATGCTATGGTATGAGAGTGAATGTAAATAGTGCGAGGAGTTTTGAATGATGGTTATGCTGTATGTACAATTGTACATACATTAAAGATTCGAGAGAGCTTTGCGTATTTTACGTCTTCAGAACACATCTACTCAGGCAGTGTTCAGGATTTTTTTGCGTTTCGCAGATTCCATATCGAGAGAACGATATTACTGTAGAATAATTTACCCTAACCCTTTTTAAATTGTACTATTTTGTCTTGGGAAGATACATTTTACTTCCCATGCCTACTGGCGAGGAACTATCATAATTGCTAAAAGTATCGAAAATGTGCTATTATATTATACAGGGTGACCTTGAAGTTGAGTCATTAATTTTCAGATAATGATTGTAGAAGGAAGATAAACCAAAATATGTGTGTAAAAAAAATAAAAAAAAAAAAATGTTACCTTGTTTTATAAAGTATCCTCCCGACAAGTATTTCAGTGCGGACCTGTATTTGATCGTGCGGTCTTGGAGCACCGGCATGCCCTCCCCTGTGAGGTCTTAAGTCACCTGATTCACGAGCCCTTTGTACTACATTAACAAAGGCACGAGGGGTTGGTTGCACTCGATTGGGAAACCGATCCGCATAAATCCGTGATGCCGCGTAAATAAGAATCACACAGTTCGGCATTTTCGTAAACATGTGCCATTTTTGATTTCGTTTGAGCCACGCAACAGACACCAATAGTCACGCGTTACCGACTGACACTGACTGTATACAACTGAATAAAATAATTGTAAAAACATCGTTCCAAATTCTTTCGCTTTTTTGTTTCCGATGCGATGAACCGATAAGGCGGATTATATCCGTTGTTGCCAAACACGAGCACATAATATTATTATTGAGACAGGGCGGTACTCAAACTTCCAAAGGGCTATAACTTTGTTACTTTAATTTTACCAGAAAAATGGTAAAGGAAAAAAACATTTCTTTTGATCAGATCTACTCACTGTTAAAATAAATGACTCAACTTCGAAGTCACCGTGTATAAAATGTACATTACCAAAAATCATGTTTCTCATTTTCGTAATTCTGCCTGTCGGTCTGCAAATCCTTGACCTGTCAGGAACTTGGAAAATATCGAACGGATTTAGACTAAACTTTCACAGAAGACTACTATTATGCCGATGGCGAACGAGCTTTACAGATTTTGAGCGGAGCTACGGGGCAGAACGTCAGAAAAATAAAAAACGGTCAAGCGTTTTTTGGCGCTTCAGAGGCTGCTAATCACTTTCGGAATTTTTTTGTACAGGTTAAAAATCGGGGGTTGTAGGGGATGGGCTCATCATAGATTTCTCCGTATATTTACCCTTAAAGCTTAGAAATATTTCCAGCTGTAGTCAATACCATCACCCCTACCAGATTGGTCATCGCCTCAATCATTAATCGGCAAGAGATAATTTTGCGTGAAAGCGCGTACCTGCATCCAAAACTTTTTAAAGAGCGGGGGTTATCAGGGGGAGGGGAAGAATTCTAAAAAAAATCCACAAAGGCATGCTAAATATGCAAATTTTTATTTTATGACCCTATTTTTTTTTTATACCTATTCGTCTATTCGTAGTCCTTCACGAATTGTTAACAACCTACGCCATCTTTTTGATAGCATAAGTTTGAGACCTATGAATCGCCTCTGGTTGAAACATGCTTAAAGGGTTGAGATTTGATATAAAATATTTAGTACGTCACATATTAGATAAGAACTTCAGATGTTTGAACCAAAGTTCAAGGTATTGATTAGATACTGAAAGTTTTTGAACAATGTTTGAGTGGGATACTTGATTCCGTCATGTTTGTCGGCTCCCACATCACCGATCCCAACAAGAAGGGCCTACTAACGGCCTGACTGTTGTACGAAATGGTGTCCTTCGTCGCGGTCACCGCCAGGTGCGAAGTTCCTGAGGTGACGAGAGTTCCACGGTGAACAATGAAGCGTCGATGTCCGAGGAAATTATGGCGTAGAAAAAATGGCGCCTAGTATTTAAAGAAGGTGTTCAAAGTGTCGTCCTCCACTGTCCACACAAGCTTCATTACGACGAACCCAGTTTCTTCTTACTCTGGGTCCTCGAAGTTGTCCATTTACTATTTCAGCCGCATTAAAGTCTTTTTCGCGAAGTTGTGCTTCAGTTGTTATAGGACCAGACCCATCAACAATCCCCTCAAGTTCTCCCCAATATCAGAAATTCACCGGACTGAGGTCAGGAGATCTTGCTGGCCATTTTCGAGGATCAGGAGCATTTCGAACGATCCAGCGATTTGGATGATGTTCATTCAAATACTGAATGACACCTCTGAAAATGTGTGGTGGTGCCCCGTCATGAAGAAACCACAAATTCTGTCTCCGTTGTAATGGCATGTTGTCTAAGGTCTGTTCCAAAAGTTCTGGTAGGTTATTGGCTAGAAAGCTAAAGTATTCTTCTCCTGACAACTTTGGGGATAACTCGAAAGGGCCCATTACCTGATCGTCAAGAATACCCGCCCAAATATTTATTTTAAAACGTTGTTGGAAATGACCTTCACGAATAGCATGAAGGGTTTCATGGGCCCACGTGTGAGTATTATGGAAATTTAATATCCCGTCTCGCGTAAAAGTAAGTACATTCGTCCTTGGCTAGAATGTTTTAAAAAAAATCCGGAATTTCAATGTTTTTGTGCAAAAACCACTGACAGAATTTTAGTCTGCGATGGTAGTCTTCTGGTAAGAAGGCCTGTACTCGTTGTACATTATGGGGCTACAGCAAATTTTCCCGCCTACGCGGCGGCCTAATTCCCCAGTGCTGATATCTGCATTGATTTCCAGATATTTAAAATTTGTTCCTCCTACTCTACAGTAACCTGTTTTTCATGAGTGCGAATACTAGTGGGCTGAACACTTCCTGTATCTCGAAGTCTTTGGTACACTTGCACAAATGTCCTCCTGCCTGGGTGTACCCGTTGGCGAAATCTGTCGCGATAAGTTTGAGCTGAAAGATTTGAATTCTGACGAGCTTCACTGTAAACTAACAACATGTTGGCGAACTCTTGATTCGAGAACATTGTAAATAAACACGACGACGTACGCGAACAGAAACAAAACAACATACTAACCACTGTTACCGTTTGCGATCGATTGCCGGTTCGATAAGAGTGATGAAAGACCGACGCGCTCTTGTCATTGTGTTTTAAATATTTAATTTAATGAAACTTACTTAATTACTACAAAGTTTGGCTTAACTTAGAAAAACTTAATGCCATTTATTTGTTAATGACCCAATTTAAAATCGTTTCAGATTAGATTATAAAAATTATTAAGATTGTGGTGATTGTGGTCGATATAAGACACTTAAAGTTGTAAACTATAAAGCCATTTAGACAAAGACCTATTGACTTTTTGACCATGGGTCATATGAACTTTTTGACTTGGTTTGATCCCCCATTACCCATTTCAATAACGACTGCCATAACGTTTACACCCTGTATATAAAATTATCTTAAAGATCAACGTTTCGTTTTTTCAAATAAAAAATTCCTTGTGCCTGAAATAATGTGGGAACCCTATTCTTGAGATAACCCTCGCACTATAAGATGGCTACCGTGAATGTATATATATCTACAACTGTATTTTTGGTTAAACACTTTGACAGACTAAATGTGTAAATACTTGGCTTGGATATGTGTGAAGATTGCTATCAACGCTGAAAAAAAGCTACAAGTTGGTGCTTGTCTAGATGTGTTTGATCAGGAGTAGCTGAGATCAGGAAACATAACCCTCAATTTTGTTGCGATTCATTGACATTTAGTTTGGCAGCAAGTTATCTGAGTGGCAATTTTTTACGCAATCAGTGACGACGAGTTAAGCTGTTGATATTTTTAGTTTCTATACGATACGATCCAGTATTACACGCACATTTAATACGTTATGATCAACGCAATACATTTTTTCATGCAATTAATTTGGTGTATCCGATTACATGTACGCTATGATAAACTGCCTTGTAACCATCGTAATTCAACACCATAGATAGAATTGCAACCACGGCCACTAGGGAGAAATATATACGTATCTCCAGCTTAACCTCTCAATTAGCAACTGGTACTACGACTAGTATATTTCGCAATAACACATATCTAACTGTCTTTAGAACGTATTGATTTTCAACTGTAAATTCGTTCAACCTGTCATAAACGGTTATGCGTAAGTATATAACGAACAGGTTTCACTAATTAATTCGTTTTTAATCCCAACAACACCTGTTTATTGCTTTTATCCTTTGTAAATGAAGACGTCTGCTTCGATTAATTAGTGTACTAGTAAAAAGTTTTGTTTGACGTTAGCTTTCACTTGCCACCCACTTGAATCGAACGAAGATCAATCATCTCACATGAATGGATCTAAGCGTATTTTAGAATGGCTTTGTCAAGGTCATTCTGCGTTACGAAAAGCAGGCTGTGGGTCTATTTTGTACATCGAGTAGGTTTAATGCATTTACTAAAATGCTATTACTGGTCCATATAGTTTAATGAAAAAAAAAATGAATAGAGCATATCATGGAAGACAATATGTGTACAAGTATACATACAAATTTACTTTGCTATCTTTTTTTCACTCTAGGCGCAATGGTGAAATGAATTTTGCATCCAAGGGCCCTACACAGCTATAGAAAGTCGACTGAAACGAGTTAGTCTTAACAGAATCAGGAGAGTTTTTTATTGGTGAATTGTTCCAGATTCGCGGTATTCTACAGGGTGTTGTGTCATTTATTTTAACAGCTTGTAGAACTCGCCAAAAGCTTTCATACACGAAAGATTATCTATATGAAAATTACATAATAAGAGAGCTTACATTACTTAAACAAAATCATTATCGAGTTAAATGGTGTTCCACAACTTTACTATAGCTATGGCTCTGGTACTCATTGTTGGGTCGTCTTCGACCATTTCTCAAATGTCTTCCTCAATTTAAATATCTTGGGTCATGTAGTCTAACAGCTGAATTTACGAACATCCGTGGTGG